AGGAAATAATAATAATAATGTGGGGGTACCCTACGGCTTTCCATATATATCAGTTATTGTACATGTTTTACACTTCCAAAATTCTTTTTTGTCTTAATTTTCTTTCAGAATTTTACAATTGATGTTTTTGGCAATACTACATTTTTTCTGTTGCACTCCTGACACGGTATAACATTTTTTTAAACATCAGCCATGGTCACAACTTGATTAAACAAAAGTTACTACGATCCACATTTAAAGATCAATACTTTGAATATTATCAGGAAAGTCTTTATTTTCAACATAAACCATTATAATTTATTTCACAGATCTCCAAAAAGTATTGAAATTTCAAAATGTCACAAAAAGGTGTTGCACTCCTGACAATTTTAGCATCATTTTTGGGCATAACTTTTTTGTTAATTGAGATTGATTGATTGATTGATTGTATATTGTTTTACGTCCCATTCGAGAATCTGTCACTCATATAGAGACGTCACCATATACCGGTGAAGGGCTTCAAATTTTGACCTTTACTCGGCACTCAGGGCCATTGAGCAGTGAGGGATCTTTATCGTGCCAACGCCTGCCGTGACACGGGGCCACGGTTTTTAAGGTCTCATCCGAAGGACCCGCAACTTTCACTTCAAAGTGCCGAGCGCATGGCGAAGGAACAGTTGCTACCTATTTTTTATCGACTTAGGTCTGTCGCGGCCGAGATTCGAACTCACGACCTCCCGATCACGGAGCGAGCGCTCTACCGACTGAGCTACCGTGAACGGTGTGTTAATTGAGATATCAACGAGATATTTAGCAGGTATTTAAACACTATCTAAAGACATATTCTGAGGCGTAGAAATCAATTTTCATTGCCTGTATTTTTAGTGTGGGTTGATAAATATGCGTTTGGTCATTTTTTATGAATTCACCCTTATGTAATCGTCTGAAATAACTGATTTGCAAATAGAATCGATGACAATAAGTTCCGTGGTCACTTTCAGGTAAGTTTCAGTTCTTTTTTAAATCTGCATTCTATGCGTAAAATTTAAAACAAAATCGATTTTAGGGGCATACTTATGATTTCGCATGAAAGAAGATCCATGTATTTCTTTGCGAGAAGTGGTTTGATTTCTTTCTATATAGGATAAAAATACTTTTTAACATTCATTGTAATCTATTCGGAACGCTTTTACGGCTCAAAATTCTATCGTGAAATTTGTAAATAAATGAAGCGATATTAAGTTTTGCAGTGGAATACGTTTTTCAACTTTACATTATGTTCATATCAAATTTTAACTGCATATATATCGTAAATAATTACAAAACCATGTGTGTATGTTAAGTCGTAGAGTTGAAATCAATCTTTAAATTTATAGTTAAGATATAACAACAGTAAATTTGTAGGCGACATAAAAAAATCTTAATTGACCATGCTTTTGTAGAATGCCTGAGATGTGTTTTTAGCTTTTCTTTGATTTATTAATGAATAAAAAAATAAACACATTGAAAAATTGCTAAAAATTCAAGTAATTCCACATCAACTTCACTGGAACAACAGAATAAGTTCTGATGTAATTTTCACTTCACAATTCTACTTTAAAGACTCCCATGCTCTTGGTCAGGGTTGTAACAAATATGATAGATTTAATGAAATATGAATAAATATAAAGAAAAAAAAATTGATGAGTAGAATGTTTCATAGTACATAAATGGAGAATAATTCAAGTTTTAAAGCCAAGTTTAAGTTTGCCATGTGTTTTTAATTATGAATTATTGGACTATAAATATTGCATAATTTCGTAAGATGTACCACTTGATGTTGCCAACATTGTTCTATGGTTTTAATTTTACTTGGTCAGGACTGCGACAAAAACAAAAAAGTTTTATAATTAATCAATGATCTTCATCTACTGAAAGATGAATTGGAAAAAAATGCTATACTATTTGATGTTTAAAACATTATGTCTATCAACTAATTACATACATTTTGCAGTCAATTCAAATATTTTTCATCACTTAACACATAGTGTTTCGTTCAGTCGTTCTGATTATCACAGATGTACCAGATGGACGATAGTTGTACCTACCAGGAATCAACTTGATCAAACTGTGGCCAAATTGTTGGTTAACGAACTGTTTTGCAAGTTCGAAATATGTAAAAGAATTCATTCAATCAAGGGAGATGTTTCGAGGCAGAAATTATACAAGAGTTGTGTACAATTTATGCAATTAAAAAATCAAGAATCACCGCTCATCATCCTGAAGGAAATGATCAATGCGAACGGTACACTACAAATATATCTATATGTTTTGAGTTTCAAAGCATTTAATCAAAAAATATAAAAGTTATGGCTATATTAAGTATACCAGCCATTTCACTCATTGCACATGCACACCCGTGCATGCATGTGTGCGCAAAGTGGCCTTCGTTCCGTACATCTACACAACATGCCTGTTAACCCTAAAAAGGATTCATCTCAATCGGATGAGTAGTTTCCACTTACCCACACAATCGGACAAAAACGTACCGGAGAAGAAATTTTGAAAAAAGAAAGTAAAACAATATGTTCCCAAACTTCGTTTGTTGTGATCTTTTTTATTTGGAGAGGTAAGTTGTAATGTGTACAAAAACCATACAGATACATCCAATATTAGTTCGAAGTTTACCTGAAAAAAATATAACAAAATACATGTGTACAATAATCAAGAATTTTCTTAACCTTTTTCATTCAGATATTTGAGTTTCAAAAAGCAATAAACATAATATGCAGTCCATATTAATGTCTATGTAAACCATGCAGAGATTGAATAATGTTACACTTTCAACAAAAATGAATATCAGAATACACTGTGAACAGGTAAAGGATGAACCCTTGAATTTATGTATTCAATTACAGACTTGCTTCTTACAGTATACACGCATGAGTGTGTTATTATGGAAACATGGCCAAAGAGATTTTCCTAGCAAGTGGCCAATTTTTTCATGTGGTAGGACAAAAAGTCAATTATCTTGAAAGATTTAAAGTAAAATGAAAATATGAGTAAATTATTCCTCTTCACTGGTATAATAAAGATACACATTTTAGTGTTTTAACGACCCAACACAAAGATATCAGATTTAAAGAAACATGTAGTTATGTGATAAACACTGGGAGATATACATATATTGCATTTTTAGTGATGAAGCATTTTCGTGATTTTATCAATATTCAAGGTCAAATTAATATTTGCATCTAAAAATACAATTGTTGCATGTACATGTATTACACATAAAGGTAGATTGAAAATGGTATCCGTTGCCAAGCAACAATAATGTTTGGTTTGATAAATAAATAGTGAAAAATGCAATTTTCTAATGATTATCACAGAACTATCTTTAAAACTATCTACGCGTTTGGTTTTAAAAAAGATTTTTAAGATATAAGATAATATTATTATTTTCTTTAATTTCTTTAAATAGTTTGGAAGTACTGTAACAGAGTATATTTTTTCGCATTTGCGAGGTGTAGACTGATAGTAATTTAATTTTAAGTTTCTAATTATAATTACATGAATTTGCGGCGCATAAATAAAAAATTATCGAAGATTGTATTGTGTTCTAATTATAATGTATTTGGAGACATTGTTTGTTCATGTACATGTACATGTACATGCAAGATGTCTTATTTTAGTTTTAACATTTTTAACCAATATTCGATTATTAACCTCCTACTAAATTTTTAAGACTGACTTTTAGCTAGAAATAAAGTAGTAGCTACTGTCAGGAATGAACATTATATTTGCACTATACTAGGTATTTGACTGTTGATGAATGAAATAAAAGATCATTAAAGAGTATACGAGCATTCCATTATTATATTAACAATAAAACATTCGAAAATTACAATTAGAAATAGTTAACTTTTTTCTTTTCTTGAAATGTTGAGAATGATCAGCAAAATTGACTTGGATTTCATTTCGCCAATTGATTCACATCTTCCTCAACACATGCATGCACGGGTTAATGTCTTGTACACTAGAAAAGAGACCAGTAACCTGCCATTGGATGACAAACACATACTGTATTACGGAAACAAAATATATTTTGTTATCATCATGATATTGACATTGTTCTGTATCCATATCTATTCAGTGTGAAAAATTCTCTACTAAGGATAAAATAAAGTGTATTTTCCTCTCCGATTAGTATTCATTATGTGTTTGTGTGGTAATATGTCATTTGATTCTTTTGAGCCAAGAGTTGGATGCTAATTCATAATGTCAAACCAAAATTGTATCCATCTGTGAGTGTTTATGAAACACGATTTACTTGAAATTTGAAACAATATCTTTACGTATTGATCGCATCCAAAACGTTTCATCCAAATGCAACTTTTCCTCATTTTCCCTATCCTCCCTTAAACAGGAAAAACTTATGACTAGGAGATGTAATTCGCAAATTAGCCTTAAAATCTTTCATTATTGTCATTTTATGATTTAGTCTTTCTTTTACATTTGTAAATCAAAACATAAAGCATCGCAAGAAAGACTGGACACAATTTGTTTTCCTGTTTAAGTTTGTTACATGTAATATGATTAAGAATGTATTTTATGAATTATTTTTTTCGGACTTTTTCTGTGTTGATCACTTTAGCTGTCTATGCAACTTCACAAAGTCGAAGTGGGATAAGGGGTCATTTCTTCTGCACAGATCTATAGGTAACTAATTACTTAGTATATAACTAGGTATAACAAGGAATCACACTTTTTACAACCTAATCCCTACAAGGTCAACTTGTCAATATTTCCTTAGACCTATAACACGGATATTCCTCAGAAGTGGAATAAAGACAGTTGGAAGTACATGGATTTATTACATTTTGAACAGCGAAATACTGTAATTTATTTATTAAATAAAAGTGACATTCTGTAACAGTATGAACGAATATCAAAATGATATTGTGACACAGTGTCAAGAATTGTAGCTGTTATGAAAAAACAAGGCTCAACTCTCAAGCAGAGGGTCTGCAACATAAGAAAGCATGAGATTTATTTTTATTCTTGCCAGAATAATAAAGACTTTTTCCCACTTGTACAATGTATTGATTTATATATCTGAACTAGATAAAAGTTTGGGCTCCTAAAGGATAATTTGTGTCATTGGATTTAGGATTTGAAATAAAACACATGTAATGTGATACCAAAACATATGATTTCTTAAGCAATTTTTTTTAATCAAAATTGTTATAAAATTCAAGCTTTTCCTTTCAGTTGCAAAAGTAATGTGTGTCTAAAAGGCTCCCTTTCACAGGCATTTGTTTCTGTAATTAATTGGTATAGAGCAAAGGCACGTGTGTCCTCTATACCAATTAGTGTGCTTTTTAGTCGTTCCTTCAGTGTTTTGCATGAATGTAGCACATTCATTCATTCTAAATAAATATATTTAGATAAGCGTTTTCAAGCATAATTTTCTTTGATTTTCAGATTAGTTCATGTAAAAATAAAAATGAAAATGTTGTTGTTGTTTTTTTTTTAAAGACGTATCATACAAAGGGGATTAGCACACGAAAATATCTTGCACAAATGTCTAGATATCAATTCAAAAGAATTTTTGTTGTTAAAATGTACTGCCGCATAAACTGCATGGTGAATGTTGACTTGATCTACGCATCTTTAGGTCAGACTACCACAGTTCATGCATATGGCGTCTGACCTGTGGATTGTAAAGGAAATAAATGATGGGGTTGACCGAAAGGTTAAATAACCATACGACTCGTCCAAAAATTTGAATCACTTTGCTTTCACGTTCGCTGAGCACTTTGAAAAAGTTTAAAGAAAATGTAATAGGGAATATGATAGCAGAAAAAATGTAAATGGCCATAATCATCAAAATCATTGCGGACATCCTTCGAACGTACTGACTAGTTCTGAATCTACTAATAGACGTCCTCAATTTATATATTTTTGCCACGTGAAAAGCTAACATAAAGATACATGGAACCAGGACAAGATAGCCCCTGAATATCAGGACGACAATAGCGATCTTGGTTTTGGCAACATGAAATCTTGCAGAATAATAAATAACTCCAAACATCACACTGGAAATCCACATTAAAATTGATAATGTCAATACATATCGTTTTCTGATCGTCACTAATCTAAGAGGCACAGCTATCAAATAATATTGCTGTCCAAGCAACAGCAATACATGTGATGCCGATGCATGTGCTGTTATATAAATTGTCGTCATTATAATGTCACTATTGTTATCGACAAAGTTTTTGTTGGTCTTTGCAAGAATCAGATGACATAGATATTGGAACAGAGACACTATATCTGCTATTGCTAGAGCTCCTATGACCATGTAGGTAGGATAATGAAAGTGTTTCACATGGAGAATATATCCGATTGTTGTCATGTTTGCAAGTACTCCAAACGCTGCTATGAAAACAAATATTAGCAGCCAAGACGTATTTTCCGCCTCCAAGTGAACAGGTATAATGAACTGGGTATCTTCATCAGTAAATGGCTTTTGTACTAATGCTGATGATGATGTTGTTGCAATAGAATTGTTGAGCATAAAATCGTCCGTTCTCTGAAAGTTTAAATACTAGTTAATTTCAAAGGGCAACTTAGATCCTGGAAAGTTTCTAACAATAGAGAGCTTTAGTTACTCGAATACTCCGAAGGTGTACGTGTAGCCTACACGTACACGTACATCACGGCAACTTTTTATGCATTTGCGTTAAGTTACGCGTACGACCGGAAGTACTTGTAGCAGACGTAAACACTGTAAACATACACAAACATGTGTGAATTAAGGTAAGTAGAAACACAAAGAGAAATGAAAAAGACAAAGTTTAAAGAAATTCAAGTGTTTTTTTTAATTGTTAATAAAAATCCACACAGGTTTAAATTCAATTTTACAAACTTTTAGCAATGACGACTTGCTGTTCATGCTTGATGAGAGGATCATAGATCAAGAAGAATTATTTATTTTATGGTCATCTTTTAATTGCCGATCTCCCCAGCTTGCTCCTGATGGTCCTAGATTAAATTTTGATGCACTAACAGATGAACAAAGTTTTTCGATGTTCAGTTACATGTGTAATAACTAATAAAGGCCTTAACATCAAAATCATAGTAAAGGGTAGATAAATTTTATAAACAAAATGGTTTTTTTTTTTGTTTTTTTTAGGGGGGGGTTGCTTTTTCTTGAAATCTGGATCGACTGCTGTGAATTCTTGGAAATGACGAACTGAAAATTAGAATAGAAAGGTATCAGCAGACATATCATTTATTTATAGGTTTGGCAAAGATGATGTATTGCGTTTACGGACTACTTTGGGTATCCCAGAGAAAATAATTTGCAAAAACAAATCGGTTTCCAGTAGCCTGGAAGCACTTTGTATACTTTTGCGCAGACTAGCGTACCCTAACAGATTGGCTGATCTTGTTCCCATATTTGGAAGAAGTGAGCCCGAGATGAGCTTGATCTTTAATTCCGTAATTTCTATTTTTTTTTTTAATACATATATTCCCTATAAATATTTTTTCATGGCTAAAACGTAAACGGATATTCAATCAATCTAAAGTGTAAAGTGAACTTTAAAAAAAAAACATTAAGGACAAAAATAAACGATTTTAACAATGGATTAAGTATAAATAAATAAAGTACTTATTTTATAGACATTGGATTTCATTTACAATGTGCATGGAGATAAACTGACGTCTCTAAATCAAAGATGGATACAAAGAGATTTGCAGACTTTGATGAATTCAGTGGATAGGCTTTGTCCTCAACAAAATTGTTGGGGATTATTGATGGGACACTTCGTCCAGTATCACGACCATCTCAGTATCAAGAAACTATTTACTCAGGTACATATACAAATACTTGCTTACTCATTTCAAGAATACCGAGGTATTTCAGAACAAAAACAGAACTCTAAAACTAAAAATGAAAAGCCATTTATAATTTCCAAATGATGCAGTTCACGTGCCAGTCATACTAGACGTGTATGTATGAAAACATGCACTACTCATTTTAATTAAATTTAGTTTTTTAAATATATCAACACTTATCTTCTTAAAATACAGGGCACAAGCGGACACATGGGTTGAAATTTCAATCGGTAATGGCACCAAATGGTCTGATTGCCAATTTGTCAGGACCATACGAAGGAAAACGCCATGATGCAGGAATTTTTAGAGAAAGCAACCTTGCAAATGATCTCTTACGTAACATGAATTCCCCGAATGGCGAACCTTTCTGCCTATATGGCGATGCTGCATACCCCATCAACCGACATCTTCTCGGTCCCTTCAAAGGAATCAACCTTACAGCACAGGAATTGGAATTCAACAGACAAATGTCGTCCGTTCGACAATGTGCTGAATGGGGATTTAATAAAGTTTCTAAGTTACTTGCATTTTTAGACTTCAAAAAGAATCTAAAACTGTACCTGCAACCAGTAGGGAAGTATTACTTGGTTGGGGCTTTCTTGACAAATTGTCATACGTGCCTGTATGGAAGTGTCACGACTGACTATTTTGGAGTAGTACCCCCATCATTAGAGGAGTACGTTAATAACTTGTAGATTCAAATTGATTAAAGAAAAAAATTGATGAAATTTTCAATTACCCCCCCCCCCTTCCCAAATCATTGTTGTTCTTATGTATTGATTTAACTTGAACACCAGATAAGACCCATTGATAGTCATAATTGTAATTATTTAATTCTAATATTTATGACATCAACATCATAACAACATCAATAAAAGATTTTTACAACAGAAATCACTTGTTTACTTTGTTAATGAGTTCTTTGAACAGATCAATCATTGCTTTCCTTTCTTCCTTCTCCAACGCAAACCTCTCTTGGTCTAAACCTGTCTTTTCTCCTCAACTTCTACCCGTTTCTTTTCTAATTCTATCTTTTCTTTGCTTAACTGGTTCTCCGAATCAGTCTTCTTCTGCAGAAACTCAATCATACTAGTAGCACTATTAGTGGATCTTTTTCTTTTCAAAGCAGGGAGTTCATCGTCCTCACGAGGATCTGTAGTCAAACTGGCAGTTGCTAGAATGAAATTCAAAGGGTAATTTAGAATTATTTTTAGTATGACATGATTTATGAATCTATGTATGTCGGACTCCATAAATACCTAAAGAAATTGCCTAATTTGTTTTTACTTTCGTAGTGAATTACTGTAAGAACATTTTAATTAAATCAAAATCCATCAGACATACATACATGCAGTCATATTTTCCATAGCTTTTTTCCGAATCAGCATCCCCTTCTCATTCTCCTTCTGTTTCTCTTTCTTTTGCTGATGTTGTGACTCTGACAGCTCCAGAACTTCCTGCAATAATTGCTCCTTTTTACTGTAATCTTCATCGCAACCGGATCTGTGTGTAGTAAAGACAATTTTAAAAATCTTTCAACTTTAATTCCTTAATATATATTAAAAGAAAGTTTATCAAAGCCGAATGCAACAATTCATACCGGTAGAGTTTTCCCCGGTCTTCTGATTTAAAGTAGGACAATAAAAGAGAGGTCCGTTCCCTGCATCTTCTCCCATCTATGGCGACACCGTCATATATCTCCATAAAACTCTCTGCTATTTCAGACCACTTATTAGCAGCATCACCTGCATAAGGATTTACAGCAGTCACACATATAAGGAGGTCAATGTCATGCTTCACAGAGAAGCGAAACATCTTCTTCCTTGGAGTTTCAGCTGCTGCCATGTGTCAAGGACCTGCATTGAAATCTGTTGCATTAAATATTTTGAAGACTTATTTTTATTATTTTATCATATTTTTAATTTTCTAAGACTAAATAGGTATGCATAGTCTTAACTAATGAAAGCGGGTTATTATTATTATTATATCATAGAAATAAATTAATGTATTGTAGATTTTTTTTTATTTCTGCATGTTTAAAAACACAATGTTTAGGCCAACAATAAAAAAAAATAATATTTGTCTGATGTAGTCCAACCTGGAAATGCAGATTGTTCGTTTTATTTTTTAAAGTTAAAGCTATATATGGCGTATCTGAGCTAAAAAAATAAAAATACGAGATTGAGTGAACATGATAAATTGTTATTTACGTTCAAATTAAAATTTTCACCGATTTTGAGTTTGAATAACCCCATGTTTCTATTGTTAAATTGACTTTAAACTATGTCTGATATTTAAATGCGGAGTCGGTGCTACACACGGTTAATTGCTTCTGCTTTGGATGTGTAAGCAAAAAATATATGATTGATTTAGATTGTAATGTTTTCTTTGACACTGGGAACTTAGGCTTTATAAATCTTTATAACTGTTTTTAAAAAACATCTAGGTATAAAGGGGACGACGAGTTGATTCTGATGGGAAAATGGGGGAAGGGGGTGGGTTGGTTGGCAAATTTTGTCAAGAAAGATTATTTATTAATTATGCCCAAGATGAGCAGATACAGAAGCTTCCCACCCCCCCCACCCCCCCCCCCCCACCCCCAAAAAACACGCACAAAACAAAACAAACAAACAATGAAACTTCTTTCTTCAACACATCATATTTTGCATCAGTCAATGTGATACTGTTTATTTTGTTAAAGATGGAAGACATATTATTTATTTTCAACATTACTTAGTTCCAAAATTGAAATCTGCCAGCCCCCCCCCCCCCCCCAACACACACATACAAACAACTGGACCAACACATAGATCTAATGACACATACAGTTTCGTATTAAATAGCAGCTACGAAAGTTATGAAAAAAATCTTATTGCATACATTATCATATAAATTTTCATTGAGCCAACCGACTTTCCTCAATTTCAGGTTTTTCTCTACTTTCAAGTTTTGCATGATAGCGAGTGTCAGTGCATTACAGACAGAATTTGGTCCCTTTGTGAATGAAAATGTATATGATTCTTATGTTATATATGCTTATTTAATCATTTATATAAACATCATTTGTTAAAACTCTCAGAAAATTGCTTAGACTTGAAATAAAATTACAAATTATTTACTTACGTGTAAATCAAACGCCACACGTTCAATACGGGTAACTACACGTCACAAGAACGCGAAGGAATTTCAAAGTACACACATTCTGATGACGTCATACGTACAAGGTCGCAATAAACTTGTAACTAAAGCTCTCTATATATTAATGCATGAAAAACTTGTCAGAGAAATTTTTTGTTACACATTGGTAAAACAGACTCGAATTTTCAAGAGGAGATATATCTCTATTTATCCATCTTACTCTGAATGGATACTTAGAAGAAAAGAAAAGTATCTTGAAACGAAGTAACGGTTTGAAAGATTACGTTAACCCTTTCGACGCCGAATATAGTTACGCCAATAACGTCATGGGTGCCGTACTATGACGTCACCTGAGACGTGAAATAATTTGCTTCAGAAAAAAAAACGACAAACTGATAATGAAAAAAGCACCTGTTTAAACAACGTAATAGGGTGTTCATAGTTTTCAAGGAAAATCGTATAATATAGTCATATTTGTTCCAATAATTTATCGCCATTAAGTAAATTTAGCAAATATTTATCCTGTAGTGTACTGACTATCATCAATTTCACAGAGAAGTTAACTCCCTTGTAAATACACATCCTTTATTGTTTACTTCCAGTGACAGCGATATGATGTGATGTGATTTACTGTAAATACATAGAAAACAGATATACAAGTATTTGATATTACACATAAACCACACACTCTGCGATTGACAAATTAACATTACTCTGATTATTAAATAAATACTCTATGTTCTTTGTAAACAACATTTTTACAAGAAATATTGCACATGTACCCTAGTAAATTAGCACATATGAAATTCATATTACTATCAAACCACACAGTTTCAAATGAATTACCGTTACTAGAAAATGCTCAAACAAAATATATGATTATTGTAGAGTGCACATGCACCAAACAATTTCACGCAAAAATCACAGCAAATCTTTAACTTTCAATATCACATTATAAATATCAACCTATTATGACATAAATTTTCTGCACATAGTCATCAAATCATAAATCTTTCATGCGAACTTTCTAACATGTCACTAAAAATTACACCATTACAGGTGGACATTGAACATCTTTGTAAACATATAATTGATAACAATTATGCACGTTAAAATTTCTTATGAAACGATATACAAATAGATTTTATGTTTAACTTACCAATTTAGAAGTTTTCTCTCATGGGAAAAGTGAAGACAAACATGATAATCAGCACGGTGACTAGTAAGCACTGGTAAACAATTTCTAAAGTTGTAAAAAGCTCGTGCACCTGCGAAAATTGTAATATTGGAACCAAATCCGGAAAAATCTAACATTCAAACAAATCCGGAAAAATCTAACATTCAAGCTAAATCCGGAAAAATCTAACATTCAAGCTAAATCCGGAAAAAATGTTTTGTGTAATGTTAAATTTGCTGTAACAATCCAGCCCCCTAATTGTGGAACATTATGTGACACAATTACGTACAAAAGTTTCAATAAGAGTACTAATAAATAGTGCAAAAGTTTCTAACAATAATGAAAATAATTTCACAATCAAGGTTCATCCATCTCCAGAATGAGACAAAGTTTATCTATTGGACGTGTCAAAATGTTTGTTGCGGTCTTTACTTTAACTTGTCGTACAAGTCCAAAACGATCAGGAATAGTCTCAAGAACCACTCCTATGGGCCACGAATTACGAGGAGCGTATGAATCACAACTAAGACCACATCACCGACTTTCAGGTTCCTCTTTAACTCATGCCACTTTTGACGTTCTTGTAGTAATGGTAAATATTCTTTCTCCCATCGATTCCAAAAGAGATTGGCCATATACTGAACTTGCCTCCAACGACGTCTGCAGTAGTTGTCTGTTTTTGTAAATACACCAGGTGGTAAATTTGGCTGTCTTCTCATCAACAAGAGATGATTTGGTGTCAATACCTCCAGGTCATCATAATGATCCGAACTCTTGGTTATAGGTCTGTCATTGAGAATTGACTCTATTTCACACATGAGCGTATTGAGTCCTTCATCATCCAAAATCTTCTCTCTAAGAACACTGTTCATCACTTTTCTTACAGTCCCGATGATTCTCTCCCAAATACCTCCGTGATGGGATCCTGCCGGGGAATTGAATTGCAAATCAATGTTTCTCTGTAGCATTGCTTCATGAATCTGCGATTCATTCCAGTCTTTAATTGTGTTTCGCAACTCACGATCTGCTCCAACAAAGTTGGTCCCATTGTCCGACCGGATTTTCTTCACTTGACCTCTACTTGCGATGAAACGACGTAGAGCATTGATGTACGAATCTGTAGTCAAAGAGGAAGCAACTTCTAAATGCACAGCACGACTGGCAAGACAAGTGAATATAACTCCTTAACGTTTGACGTGGCTTCTCTTCAACTTCACCTCAAAAAGGCCAAAATAATCCACACCAACTCTAGTGAACGGCGGATCATCAGGTACCAAGCTATCCTCTGGTAATTGAGCCATTTTCTGCTCTCCAACTTTGGATCTTTGTCGACGACATACTACACATTTCGAAATCAACTTCCTGATAGAGGAAGGTGCATGTATTAACCAATACTTCTGTCTTAACATAGAAAGCATATGATTTCTACCACTATGTTTCAGTTCATAAACTTGATTCACTTTTAATAACAGCCCTCACTGTAACCTTTTTGACCTCTGGATCATCATCAAGGATCTCGTCAGAAAGTTCTGTTGGTGTTTCAGGCCAATTTTCTTCTTTTGTCAACAAAATTTCTGGTGCCATAATCCAATGTTTCCCTTGAAGTATATCATTTGCAGACAGGCCTCTTGATGCAAGATCAGCAGGGTTTAATTTGGTATTGATGTATCGCCATTCATCCGGTAAGGAGCCTTCATGAATTACTGCAAGTCTGTTTGCAACAAAAGTGTGAAATCTAGTTGCGGTGTTTCTTATGTACCGTATGACTGCCATGCTGTCCGTCCAAAACACAGTTTTGTCTATCAACACATCTAACTCGGACTTCAACATCTTATCAGTGCGAACTGCAACGGTAGCCACAGTCAATTCTAGTCGAGGTGTGGTTATTTGTTTCAAAGGGGCAACACGAGACTTGCCAATAATGAATGAGCAATGCACTGCACCATCTAAGTTCTCTAGTCTCAAATATGACACAGTTCCATATCCACGTTCACTGGTATCTGCAAAATGATGTAGCTGTGCAGATTTTATTTCTCCAAATTCCACAGGTTTAAACCATCTTTTCATTTAAAGTCAGAGAGTTTTTCAAGATCTTGTATCCATTCATTCCATTGTAGTACGAGATGTTCTGGTATCCTTTCATCCCATCCTAGCTGAAGTTTACAGAGTTCTTGAAGTAAACACTTAGCCTTTCGGGTGAATGGGGCCAAAAATCCTAGGGGATCAAATACACTGCTCAACATGGATAAGATACCTCTCCTCTTCAAGGGTTGGTCTTTAATGTCCATCTTGAAACAGAAAACATCATTCTCTACACACCACTGAATCCCAAGGGCTCGATCAATGGGAAGGGTGTCATTGTCCAAATCCAAGTCTTTAACTTCCTTAGCTCTCTCAAAAAATGGAATGCAGTTTATTACTTCTCTGCTATTGCTAATCCATTTATAAATATGAAATCCTCCTTTCATTAGCAGATTTTGTAAGTCAAACAAAAGAGAAGTTGCGTCAGACACGGTTTTCACTGATTTCAAACAGTCATCCACATAAAAGTTTTTGAGAACAGTGTTAATGACTTCGGTGTAAAGTCCTCTGTAATCCTGTGCTGTTTTCCTCAAAGCATAGTTTGCACAACTTGGTAATGATGTCGCACCAAATAAGTGCACTATCATTTGATATTCAATGACATGTTTACTTGGATCTCCGTCTTCCCACCAAAGGAATCTAAGGAAACTTGCATCCTGGTCTGGAACTCTAACTTGATGAAACATACTGTCAATGTGTCCCATAATCACAATTTCATCCTGTCTGAATCTAAGAAGAGTGTCCCAATCAGAGTATTTGTTAGATTCGGTCCTTGTAACAACTGATCATTCAATGAAGTTCCCTGGTATCGAGCTGCACAATCGAATACAACTCTCAGCTTCCTTTTCTTAGGATGGTATACTCCGTGATGAGGCAAGTACCACACCCGTCCATCAGCCTGATTAAGTTTCTCATCTGGCACTTTCACAGCATATCCTTCATCAAGAATCTTTTTCATGAACACACAGTACTCTTCATGAAAATTTTCATCACGACTAAATCGTTTCTGAAGTGACAACAGTCTCTGTTCAACTTGTTTCCTATTATTAGGTAAACACACATTTTCTGACTTAAACGGAAGGCTAATTATGTAATGTCCATCCTCGAAATGAATCGAGTTTGACACACATTCTAGAAATCTTCTATCCTCTTTTGAGGGCTCACACTTATCATCAATAGTCCTTTCATTAAAGTCATGGTTGAACTGATCACAAACCTGTTCCTCCAAGTTGATCATGAGTTTCGCATCAACACGATTAACAGATACAAATCTATTACTCGAATTCGGATGAATTTCTAGAGGTCCATTTATCACCCAGCCTAGCAAAGTTTTTACGGCAAACGGTCCATTATCAATACTGGGTATAACATCCCAAGGTTCCAATGCCTTCGGCACATTGACTCCTATTAGAAGTCCAACATCTCCATAAATTAGAGGAAGTTCAATATTACTGAGATATGGATAGTTCTTAAGATCCTCTGGTGAAATCACATGTCCTTGACACAGGTAAAACAGGTTGCGTGTAGACTGGTGGAAGTTCCAACACATTCATACCACTGATGTCACATATTTCTAATCCAGAAATGACATAACAAGTCTTTGTATGCTGCTGTCCCATTGTTGTGAGGTTAAGGTTCATTTTCTTTCCACTTTTAATGATCTAACAATGTTCTCCAAACAGAATGTTGCATTACTTCCGGAGTCAAGGAAAGCATAAGTTTCTACGTACTTGTCACTGAACTTTAACTTGACTCGGACAGGCACAATTGGTAGTGCTTGCTAACCAGCCCCCATATGAACAGAAGATGGCGTAGCTGACAACGGAGTTTCACTATTTTTATATTCTCTTGAAGCAGTATTTGATTCTTCATTCTGTCTTGGATCAACGTGAAGAATGGATGGATGAGACTTGTAACCGTGAGCACACGACAACTAGTTTTCAAATGTCCAGATTTTAAGCAAGCAAAACACAGTCCATTTGTTTTCAAGAATGCATATCTGTCTCTAAGAGGTAAGATAGTAATACTCAAACACATATCCAATGAATGAGCTCCCTTACAGAATATACAATGTTTTGAAAATGTTTTCATCTGAGTAGCACTGTTATTACATACAGATCTTGAGTCAGTTTTCACAGTAAAGTTTTTATGCGTTTCTGATTTCTTGTGGTCTTGTAAGCGTTTGTTGGCTGAACTTGGAGTACTCATCATTTCTCTTCCATATATGGGATCAGTTGCTTTTTTGGCTTCCTTACGAACAAAGTCAACGAGATGGTGAAATTTCACAGATAGTTTCTTTTCTTTCAATTCATACACACAATTGCGCCGTTTATCATGAAGGTAAAATGGTAAGTTTTTGACCAACAGTTTCAAATTTTCTGAATATTCCAGCACACGACCCGCATCAATGTTTTCGACTGCATATTGACACTCTCGTAGGAATATAGCAAACTGATCTAAAGCTTTTGCACTGTCTTGTTTCACTAGAGGCCAGTTGAGAGCTTTCTTTACAGATGTCAGGGTCTCCATAACGATCCTTTAACTCTTCCAGTGCTGCTTTGTAGCCACGTTCAGCATCTAAATATGAATAACCAGTCACAATCTTTGCGCTTCACCAACAGTAAACTGTAATAAAAAGTTCAAACGTTCTTCATATGATTCAGTGTTGGAACAAATTCTAGCATTGAATTGTCTCCAAAATTTTGTGTAATTCATAGGATTTCCATCATACTTTTGTATGTCAGCCTTTGGTTTGTTCAATTCACGAGCTACAGTCTGTATTCCACTATTTGATTCAGGTTTGGAATCCTGTATGGTTGTTAGCAATGCTGGATCAACAATATGTTGCACAGGTCGATGAATAATATTCGGAGTAGAGTTCTCACTTGCAAGAGCATTCATAGGATCAAGATGAAAAGTTACATTTCTGTCTACATTTTCATTGATGAGAAAGTTTTCTAGTTGTTGGTCATGCAGTTCACTTCTTTCAAGTTCTTCCAGTAATCTGGTTCTTGCATCACTTATCTTAAGCTCAGTTTTAATTTTCAGTTCTTCTTCTTTCATTTTCAGTTCTAGTTTAGCTGCTTCCAACTTTCGTTGTTCATCTAATGCTGATGCTTTGGCTAACAATTCTGCTTTTCGTTGACCTTCCTTTAATTTCTCCAAGAAAATTTGGCTCGAAGCTTTAGACGTATGTGACAGTCTCGATTTCAAAGATTTGACATCAAAAGATACTTGACTTGGTGAATGCTGTTTTGAATGTTTTGCGAACCACTGTTCCACAGAATCTTTCACTTTCTGAAATCTCACATTCCTTTCCTGGAATTCTTTGTCATCTTTTTCTCCATCTTCAGAAGAAAGTTTCAAGAGATCCTGAAAACTTTCATGAGAAAACAACAGTTCATCATAAGCTTTCAGCCATTTCTTGTGGAGTTCTTTCACTTCATTTGCATCTGTTGATGTAGTCAATAACTCTTGAATACTATCACTCAAAGCTACAAGTTTACACTCACATGTGTGTCAATGCTTAAATTTTCTCTCACGCTGATATTCCAAGCCTTTTTTCTGTAAAGGTTAGAGGTCTTGTCTCTCCTCCTGTAGCACCATCTGCCATGACGCCTCTTTCTTGGACTTCTACAGACAAGATCTTCTAAGTTGTAAATGTTGTACTGACTATCATCAATTTCACAGAGAAGTTAACTCCCTTGTAAATACACATCCTTTATTGTTTACTTCCAGTGACAGCGATATGATGTGATGTGATGTGATTTACTGTAAATACATAGAAAACAGATATACAAGTATTTGATATGACACATAAACCACACACTCTGCGATTGACAAATTAACATTACTCTGATTATTAAATAAAAACACTATGTTCTTTGTAAACAACATTTTTACAAGAAATATTGCACATGTACCCTAGTAAATTAGCACATATGAAATTCATATTACTATCAAACCACACAGTTTCAAATAAATTACCGTTACTAGAAAATGCTCAAACAAAATATATGATTATTGTAGAGTGCACATGCACCAAATAATTTCACGCAGAAATCACAGCAAATCTTTAACTTTCAATATCACATTATAAATATCAACCTATTATGACATAAATTTTCTGCACATAGTCATCAAATCATAAATCTTTCATGCGGACTTTCTAACATGTCACTACAAATTACACCATAACATTGAACATTGAACATCTTTGTAAACATATAATTGATAACAATTATGCACGTTAAAATTTCTTATGAAACGATATACAAATAGATTTTATGTTTAACTTACCAACTTAGAAGTTTTCTCTCATGGGAAAAGTGAAGACAAACATGATAATCAGCACAGTGACTAGTAAACACTGGTAAACAATTTCTAAAGTTGTAAAAATCTCGTGCACCCGCGAAAATTGTAATATTGGAACCAAATCCGGAAAAATCTAACATTCAAACCAAATCCGGAAAAATCTAACATTCAAGCTAAATCCGGAAAAATCTTACATTCAAGCTAAATCCGGAAAAAATGTTTTGTGTAATGTTAAATTTGCTGTAACATGTAGCTAGAATACACAAGGGAATTCTTTAAGTACATGTATAACAAAAGAGACGTTTAAACTTTTTCAAATAATATTTCAAATGTATGATTGCCGTCACGAGAAAAGGGCCCTTAAATAGCTTGACCCTTTCTGAATGCAAATATATATATATAACTTTTGAAAAATCTTTTTTTTTTCATTATTTTATAAGCATTTCAGTAAGGCACTTTAAAACAGCGCTGACGTTGCTCACTGAAAACGTACTGATGTCCCAAATAGCAATATCAGTTTCTAAACATTCTTAAAATTATCTAACTAATCCTAATCGTTTGACTCATAAAAACTTGAGAAAATATTTCATTTTTTTTTTCTAAGCTACTAGTATTTAATTATTCCTAAGAAAAGACGCCTTACTTCATACTTCTGGAGAGATCCATTAATTGAGGAGGAGGGGATGTAGACATTTAGGATCTGAGAACGGTTTTTATTACATTTTCAACAGTGAAATACTGTGATTTATTTATTGAATAAAAGTGATATTCTCTCACAGTGTGAAAGAATACCAAAAATGATATTCGCTCACAGTGTGAAAGGATATCAAAGTAAGTAAAAAATAATTTCTGGCCTGTCATAAGATAGAGATAGTAACTAAGTATCTTGATAGAGCTAAAGCTGCAAATTTCTTCCTAAATATGTTGCTAAAATCCATGCTATGTAATGTTTTAAATCTGACACACAACTTCTAAGCTATGACGTCTCAACCGCTCAACTATGACGTCAAGCCTACGACACTGTGTTAAGAAAAGACAGAGGCAAAGGGAAAATCACAGAAAATGTAATAAATAGAAAATTCAATGTTTTGTAATTGAATATGGAATTTATTTCACTCGTGAGGCAGGATTTTTTGATATTTTCACTCGTGCTTCGCACTCGTGAAAATATCAACAAATCCTGTCCCACTCGTGAAATAAATTCCATATTCATCTACAAAACATTGAATATCCACAATTTCACAGAAGGTATTCCTTTTTATATTTAAAATAATCTAGCTCAACTAATAAAGGATAGAAATCACTTGAAATATAACCCCCTCCCCCCTCCAAAAAAAAAAAAATCGCAGATGCCCCATAGAGAAAAAAAAGAATCCCAACCCAAACGAGGGGACAGCGCGTAAAACGGACCATCCCCTCGCAAAAAAGCAAATCGATCTCGATATTTAAAACAAATTAAATACTTTCAGATAAAAGCACGCATTCACCCCACCACCCACCCACTCACTCACACCCACAAGTGCGTTACTTTTTCCCCTTTAACTTTGTTTAAAAGAGAAGATAATAACACTCCAAGTATTTTCTGTATCATCCTTTTTTTTTTAAAGTTGATATAGTTCATAAAGTCATAAATTTAAAAAAAAAAAAAAAAAAAAAGGTCTGTTTTCCTACTTCAAAGCGGATTTTTTAAATTTAATATTCTTTGAAAATACGTTGAATATTTTTAAATAAGTTTTTATTAATCAGGGCCGTAATAAGCAATATCAGTTTTTTTTTTTTTTTTTTTTTTTTTTTTTTTTTTTTTTGAAGGGGGGGGGGCATACATTTTCATTTGGGGGCACTATAATATCGACAAAATTATTGGGGGGGGAGGGGTGTTCCTACGGCCATGTTGTTCATACAAACCAATTTCTTTGCCTTTCTTACGTATGGAATACAAACATAAAAAGAGGCACATAATGATGTACATGTAACAGGATTGTATTGTGACAGTTTATTTCATACAAGAAAATTGAAACTTTAAGTAAATTTTTTTTAGTTTTTCCCAAGTAAATCAGGTTATATCAAAAGTGGTCTTCTTTTTTTTAACCAGTGCTCTCGACGCTTATCACTTGGACACAACAATCGTATAACATTTCTTTAAAGGGCCGAAACTGTCATCTCAAATGAAACGTTAAGGAAATTGGTTTCGTTAAAATATATTTTAAAGACCGCAGGACATTAACTGGCAAGATTGGAAATATACAGCTTACGTCATATCCATCTGTTACAGTTAAAATATTTTATGATCGACACTGATATGGGCTGTCCAAACTCAAAAACTTTCTGCTTATTTCTAAGATCTACCCCCCCCCTCCCCTTTCCGGAATCAAATGTTCGTCCTCTTATTATTTCTTTTAAACAAAAACATTGGACAGAAAACTCTGAATTATATATAAATGTCAAACTATTCCGAAATTGACATTATTTGTCTTTTGGATCTATCACTAACACTGTGCGTTTAAGAGTAGCTGAGGTGAATTTAAGGTATGTCACTCGTCAGCTTTTTAGAAAAGTTCAGTCAGAACCCTTAACTTCAAAACTATTTTCAACAATTCAATTTTTATAACATATTTAAATCAAACAATGCAAATTAATCAACATTCAATGAAAAAACTGCTCAGAAATTCATAAAGAAGCAAGATTTATGAGGGACTATTTCTTGTGGTGGAAGGATATTTAAAAGAAAATTCTTCAAATCTCTACATTTGTTAAATTTAATGTCTTGGAACTATAGCACCAAATATTTTTACTTAGAGAAAATTTTCCGTTATGATATGCTAGAAATATTAAATATAGGTCTCAATTTATATTTTTAAAATAAATTTTACACATTCACTCAACAGTCTTTGCCAAGAAATAAAGATACATTAAAGAAGTCAAGATAAAATTTTCACCGTTTTTTGCCTGAAAATCGCAAACCCGCTCAAATGTTTTGACTCTAATAGATAAAAATGACGTAAGCTGCATATTTCCAATCTTGACAGTTAATAATGTCAGAATGAATAGGAAATTCGCGATCATATTGCCAGATACTAACTATCACCTGCTTGACATAGAATATAGCCGTCAGTCACGTGTCAGTTTATGCTTACTAAAGTTCGAGATTTCAATCCTAGGAAAAAAAGAATTCCTTTCAGCATTGCGCTTGATCTGAAATAATGACCTTTCTGGATTCCTGGAATTAAAAAAATCTCGCGAGAGATAAATTACTAATATGTTTACAATGTTTGTCTGGTTTCCAACTCAGCTTTAAGAAAAGTTCTATAATTGAATTTTTCTAAGTATAATAGTTTGATCAAAGAGATGATTGCACTGATCTTGGCTCTTTTCTACATATGCATAATTATCGCAGCTGGGCTTTTCTGAGAAAAGTGAAATACAGCTGCATTACAATTTCGACGAAATCTAAAATTGAAACTGAATATTTTGGAAGACTTGAATATACATGTATCTTAACGCAGTAATCCTCCTCCGTGACACCAGCTTATCTGACATCTTAAAGCTTTTCATACTTCGATGCAATGAAATGTACATGTATAATTATGTCTCAAGCAATAATTGAATAATACGTCCAAAAATGTTTATAATATTTTGTATAAGGCGATGCAGGTAAGCAATATCCATTTAATGTTTGAAACTCTACCGCTCTACTCAACTCTCTTCATAGGCAAAGTGGAATCTTGAAATTACAGAACATGACTGGTATTTTTGTCTGTTACCACAGGACAGGATTAAAAACTTTTTCCTTTAAAGGCAGAAAGGTGTGTGTGTGTATGTCCTTTTTTTCCTCAAAGTCATGTACAATTCAACTTAACTTTCAGAAAATGTCGAGATATCCGGGGTGTCGAGATATCAGAGTTGAAACTTGACGTTCCAGATTTCAATGCTAAACATGGCTACAATCATTACATACACGAATTCAATAGTCAATTAAAAAGATGATTCCTTGTACATTTTTCACAGTCATCAAAGTTTTGCACGAATCTCCATTTTTCTTTTGATCGTTCGTTTGTTTGGTGATTTGTTTGTTTATTGTTCTTTGTTTTTGTTTTTGCTCAAAACACCACCCTTGCTTTTATTTTTATCTTTTCCATAATGTACAGACTCCATAATAGTGTTTGGGTTATGATTTTGAACTTTTTCACAATTCTGAATGACATCCATAACCACTTGTTACATGTAATAGTATATTTTTCTTCTATCACTGATTTATTCTCAATCTATGTTTCCATATAAACATTTATCAGAATTTCAATAATGATTTCTTTACAGCCTAATCTACAATTTAATTCTATTGTTTGTTCTATTTCAGTCCACATTCACTTCCTAAACAAGTTACAAGTTCATTTCAATTGGCTTTTATCAGAACAATTTCATATTACTTTCAGGGATTACTATTTTTCTTTGCATTTTATCGATTATTTCAATTTTTTATTTAAGCAAAATTTAGGTTTTTGCAAAAAATTGTGTCCCCTCCTCCGTTTTATTGTGTGTTAATTAAGTATAGCTGTGTGCCCCCCCCCCCCTCCTCTTTAATTTGTTGTTGTTTAATGTTTAACCGTGCGTTGATTCAAGCATCCCATGTTACCGGAATTCAAACAAAGATGGGGTCTCTTTTTAATTTTGAACTTTTACTGGTTGCCTTTTCATTGGGAGATTTTTTTTTTGCTTGTCAATTATCTCTGCATGCCACCCTCCCCCAACCAACACCCATTTGGAAATCGACGCTATACACCCCGAGACTGTCTAATCGAGTATAACAATATGATTAGCTAGGGATTAGAATAAAAATGGTCAAAACATTTCATAAGGTGTTATTCAGAATAAAAAAAACCACTTATAAAATAAAAAATGCTTATGTATGTGCAAAGAGCTTTCTCTCTCTCTCTCTCTCTCTCTGAAAAAAAAAATATATGCATGTAAATGTATGTATTACCGGGGAAAACAAGTGTAAAACTTTCCGGCAACAATGAACCATAAAAATGCTAATACTTTATTTACAATGCTAGCGTACTCCTAAACTGACGTCATAATTAAACGTCATATTTAAACCAGTACCTATGTAAAAAATAATGACCTATGGTTGCGTCAAAAAATAGATATTATTGTGTTTAACTACACCTAAGGTATATGGTTAATAAAAAAATTAAAATATTTATTGAAAAACGACATTTGTGTCGGTTTGGCGTTGACACAGTAAACGGCATTAATGTCGCTTTGGCGTCGAAAGGGTTAATATGAATGCATTTTTGTTCGGTAATTCAGATATGCATATGCAGTAAAATTCGTTCAAAGCATTTCGTCAGGCAAAACTCGGGTTTAAGCTATCCTTGCCAATCGGATCTCAATATTTATCATTTTTTACTCTATTTCAACGTTAAAATACAAATACAGGTATGATTTTAAAGTATGTAGTTCATCAAAATAGTAGCCATAAATCTATTTTACAAATAAATCTTACCCTGTTATACATCATGCTTTCAAAAATAATGTAACCACTAGAATAATGGCCTGATGCAATCACTATCTGCTCGACACACAAGCTCACACGGAAAAGTGAGTTATATTTATAAACGGTTCCTTTATAAATACTGGAGGATGCAACGTAGAGGGCACCGTGTAATTCATGGACTGTAGGCATGGAGTGGAGTTACGGAATGGAGTTTGGAGTCAAATTTTGGAGTCTGGTTTTTTTTTTCAAATTTGATTTTATTCCCATGTTAGCAAAAGCACCAGCTATTGCAATGTTTAACAAAACTCCTTTTACTAAAATTAGGTTACGAGTATCTTGTTGAATCACCTTAAAATCTGCTCAAAAACAGACAAATAATGTTTCTTGCTACTTTTTTAGATGGTGTCATTCATGCCAGTTTGATACTCCGTAATCCATTTTAAGGTATTTTTCTGCTTCTTTGCCTGAAATTTTCCGATTGTTTAAGCAAATATATTCTTTCTTGCAATACCCCCAAAATAAGACTTACTGAATGTGAACTTTACATTGATCAATCTTGGTATGAATATCAGATTTAATTTGTCTTACTGATGTATAGAATAAAGATACAAAATTCTTCAGGTGACAACTCTTTCGTTTTATTATATTCCCGTGTTGCTATTACATGTAGAAGTGATGCGTGTGTTCCTTGGAAAAGTGTAGATGAACATTTTAGTTTATATATCTGTAGTTTAAAACTAGAAATATTTCCATAGGACATGAATGCCCGTACGGTGTATATTAGTAATGCAACATGAAAATTTGTATTAGTGTATGAAGTTTGATGCGAATATCTTGAATAGTTTCTTTAAAATTGAAACTGAAATCTAAAAAAATGGATATAGATGATAAATTCTCACCAAATTATGTATAAGTCCATAAGCTTACATAGAAATATCTGAAATGTTTTTTTTAAACTAAGCAAAATGCAAATTAAAAAAAGTGAGGTCAAGGTCACAGAAAGCCTAAGGCTAAAAGATTTCATGCTGTTGAATAGCCCTCACTAATAAGTATCAGTATATTAAGTTTGATAAACAAATCTTGAATGATTTATTTAAAACTGAGGTAAATACTGATTTAAGAAAGTGAGGTCAAGGTGAAAAAATGTTGATGCAGTTGATAGCTCTTATCAGTATGTATTAGCATATGAAATTTGATGAAAATATCTTGAATTCTTTAAAATTGAGCTGAACATTATTTATAAGAAAAGTGAGGTCAAGGTCAAAAGAAAGGTCAAGGTCAAAAAAATGTTAACAGAATTTTTTTATTACACTATCTTGAATGGTTTCTTTAAAATTGAGCTAAACACTAATTTAAGAAAAGTAGGTCAAAGGAAAGGTCAAAGTCAAAAAATGTTTGCACAATTGAAAAGCTCTCACCAATATCTATCAACATATGAAGTTTTATAAAAAAAAATATCTTGAAAAATATCTTTGAAACTGAGCTTTGAACTGATCTAAATGCAAAGCTTGACGGATGGAAAGAACGACGGAAGACACACAGGACAAACTCTATATGCCCCGGCCATATTCATGGCGGGACATAAAAAAATATTATGAAGTAGACTAGCTGTATGCTTTTTAAATGTTTAATTATTTGAATTATTAAAAAATATCAATTTTGACGATTTTTCATAATAATCATTAATCAAATTCTTAGTAAAATCAATTAGAGGTTTTTTTTACGACCAAATTTATACTTATGAAAGACATTGTATCAGCCATATTTGAAAGCTTATGTTCTAGGATTTGAGATAATAACAAATATTCATTTAAGATATTGATTGTTAGAACAAGTCAGTCGAAGATCACATAATCTATTACCTAAATCTCAGGATTGATATTATATTAATGTTGAATTTTATTTAGACAGATTAATCTTCTGGTCCAACTCTTGAAGCTAATTTTTTTTTTTCGAAAATGAATTACCCATAAATATTGTACTTTGATGAATAGCACACTGATGTGAATAAATGAGTCTGTTATAATTGCCTAACACTGCCTGCATGCTCTTGTATAAATAACTCTTGACATATTATGTGGGACATACAGTGGCTGCATCAAATTCCCGCAAATTCTTTCAGATAAGGTCGTGGGTATTAATTTCACTTTCAATGTCAAAAAACATGGACAGTTTATTCTATGTTTTAATCAAATTTAACTGTTACATATAATGATCACCATAGCTTTCAGCACATAATTGGAAGGTGATAAAACCTTTTGAACTAAATTTTAGCTTTCTGTCACATCTTTGTTATGTCTACTAAAAATTTTATAGGTTTTTGACCACACAGCTGAACAATGTAGGTTAATATATTGTTACAAGGTTGTTTGTAGAATAAGATTGATGATTTTTCTACCTATATAATTTACTGTAGATTTAAAACCATCAATTTTGTATCTTAACATGTGAATTTTAAAAAAAAAGATTATCAATAATTCACATACATTTACTTAAATAATTAAATAATATTATGATACTGTACATTGTAATATGAATACAATACATTGGTGCCTCACAATTTTTATCAATTAAGAAGGTAATGGGAAGGAATGCACTGTGATGCTAGTTAAGGGATAATGATATTTATATAAACTCCTAAAGAATGCAATAATTTTAATGCATACAGTTAATTCAACACTAGATCACATACTCCAAAATTAAATGGTCATCGTTCACAGTTTAATCAGCATCTCTGAAACTGGGTTTGAGGATTCTGGCTTTTCTCTATATGAGCCAGTGTATTCTTACATAGCTTTCACTATCAATTAGAAAACTGACAATTTATTCAATGTTTAATAAAGATAAACTGGAGTAAACACATTGTTATTATTATTATTATTATCAACATTTCACTTGAATTGAACTATTTTTAAATAACAGGGGTTATCTTGTCAGTATCATGTCTGTCTATTCAATACTGATGTAATTTTCTAAAGTTCTAATTTTCTAAAGTTACAAATACAAACTTAATTACTTACTTACTTAAGTTTCAGAAACTTAGAAATTTTATTTAAGTCATATTACCTATGAATTGTCAATCTGTTTATTTACAAGATAAGAAACGGCAAACAAATGTTCAAAAAAGAATTAAAGTCTTTCATACTAATGCAATTTCCTGGACATCTTTTTCCATTCATGTTTTAAAAAAATATTAGACTCCAAAATTTGACTCCAAACTCCACTCCATAACTCCATTCCATGCTTCCAGTCCATGAATTACACGGTGCCAACATAGAGGGGCTGTCTGGGTTTCCAGGAAAAAATATTCAAAGCTTAATAAAAGTAAATCAGATGAAATCATTTGATATGAATCTTAGTTTCCAGGGGGTAAAAAATGAAAATTCCAAGCTATAATAACAAGCATCAAAATAGAATGCTCTGCTTCCTCATGAAGCTTACGAAAACATCAACAATTGTATAAATAATATGACGTTTCATGAGGGCACGCCTTACTCATCATATAAATGGATTCCCCTATCTGTCATGGCGGATTTTAATGTCAACATGGATTATTCATTGTTTTCGGTACTTTTGTTTGAATACGGATATGTATTTAATTTTAAATTGGTACTGTATGTCAAGGAGTGAATTTATTTACTTTACTTTGATGTTTCAGCATCTGTGTTATATTTATCAATTTGACATCTCTGCCCCCTCCTGATCAACGGTATCAATGACAGTATTGTAAGTTTTACTTCCAGCGTAGAGATAAAAGGTTAAACATTTCCTTCTTGAGAATTCTGCCTAAATTAATGTCAACCATCTTTCTTTGGATGTTACATTTTCAGTTTTATTCCATTTCTTTGGTTATATCTTTAGAAATGTGGGAGGAGTTTGGGGAAAAGAGATGGATTTTTGTGTATGTTAGTTTTGAATCTTAGAGTAGAGTTTTAGCGAGTTAAATGTTACTTTTTGGAAATTCATGAATAAAGAACCATAAACATGTAGTGACGAGTGTTTTCTTGGAAGGCATAATCACATCGTAACACGTATAAGATTTACATCGAAACAAGTTTTTCTATCAGATGAAAATAAATAGTAGTATTAAGGCTTAAGTTATCTTCTATAGTTTATTTATATATTTTCAATAAATCTTAATGTAAACTTAATGTAAACTTGAGTGTTACAAGTATAACCAAGTAATCCAATGTTTTTAATGTAAACTAATTATAGTCAAGAAATACATTCCATTCAATATAATACAAAAAAGTTAGGAAAGCTTTCAAATTGTAAACATTCCATATGATAGTTAGCTTGCGACGTAAGATTCATTTTAACAATTTGATTACGAACCTCTAGGGTCAAACTTGGATATTGAAATCTTTATGGCAATATACAATATTTTCGGACCATTTTAGGAAGTAAATACATGATAATGATCTGATAGATATTATTTTTACCTGGTATTATATACCACTGCTAGTTAAAATAGAGATATATCCTCTAATTAATGACGGGAGAATCAATAATATTATACTGTAGGCCTAGTTACCGAGCTTCAAAAACTACTGTACCAGTGGCTCGCTCAGTTAGAACATTTAGTGTATTGAATACGAACTTGCCTATTGATGTAATCATTTTAAATTCGAGTCCAATTTTTCAACTTTTCAAAATATCATGAAATTCATTGCAGAAAAATGTAAAAAAAAAAAAAAAAAAAAAAAAAAATGATAATCATCATTAACTGATGGTGACATTCTCTGCTTTAGCTTCCAGATCACATGATTTAAACCTGGTAATGAGTTATATATACATGTAATATCTTTTCTTAGGAATATATTGTGTTCCTTACGTTTGGGAAATAAAATTTATCTCATACTCACTTAAGAAGCACATGAAATATTTCGTATCTGTACATGAGAGCTATATCAAGAATATAAGGTATGAATTAAGAAATTAACTTTCTGTTCATCTTTTCATGATGTATAATCTTGGACTTGGGGCAGCAAACCAAATTAATTACTTTATTATACTTCATACTATCTCGTGTTGAAGAATTTATTAAAATGAAAACATATTGCCC